CGAGCTTGTCATGTCGTTGGTCTGCTGGAATCGTTTTGGGGTTGATGTAAGAATAGCATTTGCTCCCCCATACACGGATGTGGTCAATGGATGGTTTCGTTCCTGTGAATGCCTCTTCAGGACTGACTTGCTTTCCATTGATCGTGGGTCCTGTGTTTGTGCGGTTTCGCAGGTATGCGTCTGCTTCGACAGCTTCATCCCAAAACTCAATTGGTAAACCAGCGTCTTTCAGCATTGCTCTCATATCAGCTTCAGCGGTTTGGATGTTTCGCTCAGCTGGTCCATTCTGGTGTGAGGAAGCAATTGTTGTAGGCTGAATTTCCACGCCCTGTGTAACTCTCCATTCCTCGGCTTGCTGTAGAAGTTCTGGTGCGTTGTCAGTTCCAGCAGCTTTAACCTTTTCGCCAGTTTGATGTTCTACAAAGGTCTTCCAGATTTGGAGTTCCCTTTGTGCGTCTCCCTTTTTCTTCAGCGGGATAACCCAGTTTTTTCGCGTGTAACTGTCAATAATAAGGAGGAACCACCTGTTTCCTCGCAGAGATGTTGGAAAGGGTCCTGCAATGTCAAACTGTACTAAGGCTAGCTTCGTGGCCTTATGCTCTCTCAGCTGCTTAGGGATGCTGTTCTTCATTTTCGTCAGAGAACACACTTCGCAGATTTCTATCTTCTCTGGAACTTGAATCTTCTTCTGGAGAGTTGTAACTTCGTGGAGTTTAGCAATCTTTGCAGGTCCTAGGTGTGCGAAGCGTCTGTGATACAGCAAGTATCTCTCCTTTTCATTAACCTTAAGCTCGCTCTTAACTGGTGCATGGAGTTCCGTGCCTAGAAATGCTGTTTCTTGGTATCCATCGGCAATGTGTGACACTACGTAGAGGCCGTCGTCCATAGTTGCTTCAATAATAACCTTCTTTCCTAGTTTGAAGTATAGTGCGTGTGAATTGAAACGACCCTTCAGGCTTGCTGCGCAAATTCTTCTTCCTGATAACAAATTGACTCCAAGGTTAGGTACAAGCAGTACTTCTGACAGCCATGTCGACGATCCATCCTTACACACCACTTGAGCTTCTCCTTTCCAGTCCGCATATAATTCTCCCCCTCCAACCCGAACGACTCTTCGTTTGATCTTAATCATTCGTCTAAATAATGAGGGTTGGTCAGACATGTGAGAGGATGCGCCAGTGTCGGCAGCCCAGGTAGATGGAGAGGCCTTACCGACGATGTCTTTTGAGAGACGGCATGTCTCAATTTCCTCGGGTTCGGAGTCTGAGGTCTCAGATAATTCATCTGACTCTGAATTGACTTCTTCGGCTCCATATGCTTTGCCAGTCCTTTTGTGGGAATTCCTTTGCTTAGGTGTCTTAACGAGCAGCTTAGATGATTTCTTAGCGTCGTATTCCTTAAGGAGCTTTCGAGCTCTCTCACGTCTTGGGCAGTCTCGTACGCCATGGGCTCCATCACAAAGGAAGCATTGGACCGTGAATTTGGCACCAGATTCGGAGTCAGACGATAGTGGCGAGTTCTTATGATTTCGACGCCTGTAAGGCGGAACATACTTCTCCGTCTTTCGGAATGCTGGAAGAGCTTTTTCGTTGGCGTCTTGCTGGTCTCGAACCTCCTTCTCTTCCAGAAACTTAAGTTTCTGTTCAACCGTGAGGTTAAGTTGGGCGTTTAAGGTGTCAATCGTAGTCTTGAATTCTTTCGGAAGTGATCTGATAAGAACGAGTAGTAGTGCAGAGTCCTTGTAAGCTCCGTTGGTGTCGGCGTCTGCTGCTACAAGTTTACGTCGGTAGTCCTTTAGCTTCTCCCATGATCCAACAATCGTGTTCCCGGGATTAAATGTGAACGTTTGAATTCTAGTCATGTATATGTTGGCAGTTGTGGCGTCAGTTTGGGTGTACTTCTTTTGTAGGTAGGCCCAGAATTGGAAGGCAGTATCGTATTCGTCAATGAGGGCTTGGTCATCCTCGCTAAGCGACCGAAACAAGAGATCGATTGCAGTGGCTTCATCTTCTAGGTACTTGTCTCTTTTTTCAATGTTGACGCGGATCTTGGTATGCTTGTCTGTTTCAGCAATTTCCAACTCTTCCATAGCCTCCGTTAGTCTACTAGCTGTTGCTATTTGACAGTGCTGTACCAGATTTTTCTCGCAGACATAGAAGACTTTCTTCCCCTTAAGCTTGACCTTGTTTCGGCGAAACCAAGTATCGTGGTTTTCGGCTGTGAGCTGGGGGATCTTCCATTCTTCCTTCTCTGCAGCCATCTTGTGCGGGTGATGCGGTTGATTCGGGCGATGCGGGCGATGCGGGCGATGCGGGCGATGCGGGCGATGCGGGCGATGTTCTGCGGGTGGTGCAGTCGTTATCGGTTCTCGAGCGTGGAGACGGTGTGTGTAAGTATGGTTGCGTGTCAACCGCGTTGTACACGACTTTTTCTCTTTTCCGATTCCTGCTTGAATCTAAGTCCTTCGTGACTTGGGTGAGTGTTTTTGATTCCTTCTCGAATCTAAGTCCTTCGTGACTTGGTTAGGTGTTTAAAACCAATAACGTTGGGTTAGGCAACCGGGCTCATAACCTATTGGAACAAGGTCTCCTCTGGTGGTATGACTACCATAGGGAACCGAGTAGAGGTATGTTAGGTCACCACGTATTGGATTGAACTACACTAAGAGCTGTTGTTCTGTCTTCTTATTATCATGATGATCTGGGGATTTACATGACAGATCATCATTCCGCGTCGGTCCTTCTGCTCGGGCTTACTTCCACGAGCCTCATCCCCGCCGACCTGGACTGAACCTTACATCTTCTCAACAGATATCTTCTTTATAGGACGTCTTCGCGTTCGTCGCGAGGTCCGAGGGTCGTACCGGTACGTAGGCTGGCGCTTCGGCGCTATCGTCGCCGATCGCTTGGCGATATTGGGTAACGTGCAGATTCGTCGCTGCAGTTGATGGCTGATAGCTTCCGATAAGTGGAGCTAGTGGTGGTTGTGGTTCTATTAGAGGGATCCCACGTTGCTTTGGATCTACCTTTTCCCACACTTGGTATGCGGCGCATTCCGCTTGTAGTTGTTGGTACCATTTAGCCCAATTGGTATAATCCGTTAGGATCACTGTTGGATCTCTGTTTGATAGTACAGACATCTTGTCGATGAGTTTTGATGACTCTTCGGTTCGGCGCTTACGTGTTGTAGCGTGGGGATCGTCGTATTGACGGTATTTGTAGTATAAAGTAACTTTGATTGACTCTTCTGTACTCGGTACAGGCAGTGAGACTCTTAATTGTCAGATTTTTATGGATGGGATCAAGTGTGTATTCTCTGTGTCTGTCTACGGCTCTGTCTGTGGGAGGTGGCCTCGCCTCGGGCTTGGCAGTGCTAAGTCCCGGCGCTAGCCCTGGTTTGGGGGTCTCATGTCCTTCCCCAACCACCATCGGCTCGATCATGGAGCAAAACCTCGCCTCAATCTGACACTACGCAAGGGCAACTAAGAGAGGCTTTGATCCTGCTCTAAGGCCTATAAAATTAGAGAATAAGCACGTTGAAGATGCGTCACAATCTAGGAGGCCTTTGAGAAGGTTGTAAGCCTTGTGAGAAGAGATCGGTATAGCTAAGAGAAAACCTGTGCTGATATTGCTGGTGATCTTAGTTAAGATGGCCTGGATATCTTAGCCTCCACGGTGTGAAGAGTACTCAGAAAAGCAGAATACAAGAAGACAAAGCCAACAAGGAAACCTAGGTTAACGAAACAGATAAGGAAGGAGAGGCTAGCGTGGTGCCTTAAGCACAAAGATTAGACTCTTGAGGATTAGAAGAATGTTATTTAGACAGATAAGACTGCTGTTGTACTTCTTTATCGACGTAGAGGGTATAAACTTTAGAGGAGGGTCGATGAGGCTGTTGTTAAGAGTTGTATCCGTAAGAGATGGAAAGGTTACTCTAAGTTTATGTTCTAGGGTTGTTTTACGTACGAGAAGAAAGGACCTTATTATTGCTAGAGGCCTGAAACAAAGCAAGAGAAGGAAGAGGCTGCAAGAAAGATTAATAAATTAAATGCTGAGTTGGAGCATCTAATAAGAGAGAACTGGGAGCTTAAAACAGGCATGCGGCGGCTTAATCTCCGTACAAAGCCTGGCAAGAAACCTAAGTGGAGATAGAATCAAAAGAATAGCAAATTATCACGAGGCAAGGGCTCAGGCATAGACTAGTGGCGGTACCAGTCAATTATTATGCGGCCAAAGTTGATTCCTTTTGCAAAGGAGTGCATGAAAGAGAGGCCTAGTACTGTAATTCAAGAGGATAAAGCACCTGCTCACAGCTATTACGTTTAAAGCTAGGTGTACAGTCAAGAGCACGTAGCACAGTTGCTTTAGTGCGGCAATTCACCTAACTTAAATGCTATTGAGCCTTGCTAGTTTTAGATGAAGAGATTCACAACAAAGAAAGGAGCTCCTAAGAGTAGAGCTCAGGCTATTCGTGCGTGGGAACAGTGCTGGGATGAGCTGCCTCAAGAGAAGATACAGGCCTGGATTGAGCGTATTCTAATCCATATCAAACAGATCATTGACTTAGAGGGAGGAAATGAGTACAAGGAGGGCAGAAATGTACGTAGGACTGATTGAAATCAATTGTATCGGGCCGAATCACCCCTGTACTTGCTCCGTGCGCTGACCAGGGGGTGGGAAAAGACTTTTGAAATGCACCTCCGTAAGTGTTGGTGAATATTGTGATTAGGTTTTTACTTTACGTGAGGCCGATCATATCAGCGCTATTGCAAAAGCCTCAGAATTCCCCGAGCTCTCGGAAGGTGACGCGTTAACCTGGATCTAAGCCTCCTCAAATTCGCTTCGTGTTGATCTGTGACTGTAGAAGGCGGTAGAAAAAAGCCGTAAAAGGCCGTAAAAGGCCGTAAAGGATGACTGGAAAACAGCCGACAGAGTCTCTTATCAGGCATACTAATGTATAAATATCCTTCAGAACTTCAGAGAATTCCTTCTGGACTCGTTACTCCAGTTACCTACCCGCCGCTTTGCCGAACATCTACAAAGTACTGCTCTCTACCCGCTATAATGTAAGCCTATAATTCTTAGGAAGTTTATACGACCTCCCACACTAAGCAATTCACTAGGCGTCTCCCATCTACCGCCCTTGTTCTCGTCGCCCCCCTCTTGGCCCTCGCCAAAGACTGTGCCGTCTACTACGACCACCTGCTCCCTGAGAATACTAAAGAAAATTCTAACACCAATGCCGACCGCGACTGGAATATTATCCAGTGGTGTGTCGACAACCATGGTACAAATGGAAAAACAGACACCGGCGTGGTAAACGGGCAGAAACCGAACGTGTGCACTATCTGTCGGGCCCTAGATGATAATATAGGCGACACTGTTCTAGATATTCAAGACAAAAGGAGTGGCGTCTGGGTGCATTATACTGTCGCATGTGGAGACTTTCCAACAGGGTCGTGCCACTCGTCATAGGTGGATGGATAGTAAGAACAGCACGGGAGATATTCACAAGGGACGATAGTAGCGAGCATTCCACGGAATCAATGTATCCTACTACTATAACACTAAGAATCTTCTCATAACTGCCTAGCGCTCCGATAGTATTGGGAGCGTCGTCTTCATTCATGTTTGTAGACTTATAATTTAGCGTGCTAACACTTCGTACGACAAATTTAAGTTCAAGGATGCTTCGCGAGGGTAACTCGGAGGCGCTTGTTCTGCATTACTTACAGGAGATAGATTACATTCCTCTGCTGTAAGTATCCTTGCATCATCTGTTTTGAACCATATGGAGCAGCTGTAGGCGATTGCTGACTGCACAACTGCCGCGTATATAGGCTATAAAGGGGCTGTCGCTAGTCTATAATAGGAGGCTGACAGTTGCATGACGTGGCAATCACCGCCCCGGATCAGCTGCGCAACCCTCACGAAACTGTCGTGGGTGCTATGTATTCCTGCCTTTGTCTCTGGGCGTCACTCCGGGGATCGTCCCATACTGCTGTACTATTCTCTACCTACGAGCCCACTGACTAGGTTTGCCATGATTCTCAAAAGACGTAGTAGAGGTAATTCAGTTTACGGGCTGTCTGCCGATCACTAAGCCTACTAACCATGTTGCACATGGTTACCTCACTCACCCTCAAGAAGTGCCGAGCCGGCTACCTAGGAAATTGACCCTTGCGACGGTCGTCGATCAGCTTACCCACGCGAATGACAGTGCCCAAAACAAGCATATTAGGGCGAGTCCATCTCCGCCGACTCAACTTCTAAGGCACACTAGAGGGGTGAGAACGGTGGGCACTCGGTTTGTCATATGATCACGTGATATACACCTGGGCACGACCATAGGAGTATATACCGTACTCTGCCTGCGATTGCTAGTTCGGTAGACTTACATAAAAACATTGAAATTCACTCCAATATAATGCACGGTTGATGGGGGAGGGCACTGTGCAGCGCGGGAGTCTCGGAAGGTTGAACGATCGAATAAGCTGGATGAGCTTTGTCTTGGGACTTCATTGCAATATGGCGGGCACTGTTGAGTGAGCGGTGCTGTCGCGTCAGCATGTCTTACAGTCATTTCGGGCAGGCCACATCTCAGGAGAGGGGTTCGCGAGAAGTTGCCCTCTGCAGCTACTCGGGATTGGAATATTTCACATAGAACTCTCTCCAACAAGAGGTAGACAGCACACATAATAATCGGTTCGGATCATCTTATACAACTTAACTCTGAGGCCAACTTTCAACGTACTCGATTAATTTAATAGAGAGAAAAGGCAGGAACAGAGCATCCCTACGATGACTGGGTCAAGGCACAGTCATGAGGGTGTTTGCGATACGATGCGCGTCAGCACAACCGATGATCAACAACTGAAGGGGAATCCAGAAGCAGCCGAGAAGACCGAAAAACCCCGCATTCTTGTAGATCGCCGCATGTGTCCAGACCGACTACCCTCCGGACATAAATGCCCGTCTCCCTCCTCAAGATGGGGAGGGAAGTGTCTACCTAACAACCGTTTCTCACCAATCTCACTCTCTATTGGAATACTCTGCTATTTCTATTCACTCGCTTATACCACCATCTACACGACACAATGAAGTTCTTCCTCGCCGTATTGCTACTTGGCGCGAGCCTTGTCGCCGCCTCTCCAGTGCCCTGCGATAATGGTCAATGCTGCGATACTCCAGAGTGCGTACAGCTATAAAATGCCCCACTTTAGGTATAATATGTTTGCCCCTACTCAGCAGGTCGAGGTTAACTTGTCTCTCAGTTGTCCCAAGTACCCCGAACCGAAACAGCTTCTCCATCTACCTGACCGATCTTTCCTATACACCGCGACATCCTATTCCGCCGCCTATGTCGTTGTCTCTCCACTGCTTCAGCGAAGGGAAGTAATGTATTATCTTCGGCAGCACCATGCGAATGTAATGAAGGGTGGGGGAAGGGGGCAAGCAAGTTGCAGGCGCTGTAGAAATCTTTCGCGGTTTGGTTGTTTCGGCACTATAGCAAATTTACGACTCCTTCACATGCGCATGTGCGTAACACGCTGACTTAACTGAATCTGGTTCTATCTTTGTCTTTATCAAGAATGCACAAAATGCACAACTTAAGAAAGGACTGAATTACTTTGCTTTCTCTAATGCGTGCTGGGCATACGCACTGAAGCCTGCGCACCCAACTTTGAATAACAAAATACAGATCAATTTGCAATCGTGGAGAACATGAGACCTCGCAATCCGTACCGCCTGCGCAGTACTTTCCCTTGCGCCCCTAAGTCCTGTCACGGTACCGAACACACGGCAGCCTGGCATCGTATCCACTACAACTAGAGTTTTACCTTAACACAGTTCCCTTGGGGAAAAGGAATAGCCTACATGCTCGTTTTGAGATTAGTTCGGGCTGGAATAGACGCAGCAGTAGTAACCCCAAGTTCTACGCACAGGCGACTTTAAGCGATCACAGCGACGCCTCGACTTCGCCATCACAACGTTACCTTCACCCTAGGCATGAGTGGTGGATCTTATGGCATCAATAATTAGAGAGTATGTGCTGCTCATCAGGTGACCTAACAGTAGTGGTGTTGAGGCGCTACTATGCTAATGTCGGTAGATCATGCGACGGATATCGCGACTATCATTTAGTATACAAACCAGCACGGTGCGCGACGGTACCTACAGGTACAAGAGGTATGACGTCGCATGTGCACATTGGCTTGAGTGCGAGGCATGCCTGTAGCTCTTTGCGTGCCTGTCTACCTGCGTGCTGTATAGTTTGTCATGCATAACAGGCGCAATTTGCATCTGCGTGATATCACATGCCTGACTTGAGTAGTCGCCAACAGCTCATATTGCCACGGACTACTACTTACTGCAGTCGAGAAATGTTTTCAAAATAGACCTGTACTTACGGCATGTTATTGTTTCTCCGCCAAAAGGATGGAAGCCCCGGTCATGGTGTGGATCAATACCGGCCGCCTTCGGTTCGCTCCCCTTAGTTGCTGGCTATCATTGGTCAGATCAGGGTTAGTGTTGGATGTTTCCCGTACAATTCACTCGGTCAGGCCACGCTAGTCGCGACGGAGCAATGCTGGCACGAGAGCATGACCGCACTCTATGGCCACACCGAACACTCTGGTCGGGTAAATGATGCCGAGATGGAACCGGCCATGTACGAAGAGGTTATATAAGTACAACGACAACGTCCTCTCCTCATCACCACGCATCCTCAGTCGCTTCCACAACCAACGCCTCTTTACATTCGCTTTATAACCCAAGGCTATTCATTAATACCAACAACAAACATGCGTTTCATCACTCTCGCTGCCCTCTTCGGTGCTGCTGCCATGGCACAACCCGCGCGGGAGGACCCCACTGAGAAGCTCTTCATCAGCAACTACGCCATCTCCACAACCCCCAACGCCTTCCCCACCATGTCCTTCCGCATAAGCGCGAAGAACGCCACACATCTGGTGTGCGCAACCGGCAAATACCAGTACCAGGATCTGATGATGAACTCGTTTGAATGCCCCTTCCCCGATGGCAGCAGCAAGTACCGCTTCAACGTCGCAAGGTCCAACACCGAGCGCAGCGGTTATAAATTCAGCTTGGCCCACGAACTCGCACCAGGGTAAGTTATTGTCTCAAGAGCATAAAGGTCGATTGAATTATGTGCTGACCATGTATTTGTAGTTTCGGTGTTTCGGCTATTAATGTTACGATTCCTACCGTCTGCGCGGCTGCTAGGCCGGGGTACGTCACATGCGTTCAGAATGGACCTTATGTCGGCAAGATGACAACGTTGGGTTAGGGAGCTGTTCGTCTTGTACATAACCTGGATAGTCTTCAAGATCAGATAGTTCTAATTATAATATATAATTCAGCCTTGAGAAAACGTCGTGTTTGGTGGACCCATGTGACAGATCATACGTTGGAAGATCCCGCTTTCATTATCCCGAGGCCATTCGGCCCTTCTCCGCATGGGCCTTGGCGTGGTCGCTGCGGAACGAACCACGAGATGACAAAAGATTGGGAACGGGAGCTGGATGCGATCTCCGTGCCCAATCCGTCCGGTCCTGGAGCCTCCATTCGCAAACACATGTTACATGTTGCACATTAGCTCTTTCGGGTATGTCGAAATCGTCGGTTCTACTGCTCCAATTGGGAAAATCTGGGGATGGAGATTCCCATTTATCGTAGATCATGAGCGCAGAGTTGCTATCAGTCAGTTCAGTCAGTCCGGAGCTCTCTGGACTGACTGAACTGACGTCCTGAGGTCACTGAACTGGACTGGACTGACTGCCAAGACTTTTCAATTAAACTAAAACTGACTGACTGAACTGACGTCGCCGCGGCCTGCGGACTGACTGGACTGACTGAACTGAGTTACCTGACGTCGAACTGAGATAAATGCTCCTGTACTTTTGAGATTTCTTCCTCTGATAGTGTGCGCGCTAGCCCAGAAGCTGAAGTAGTTGTTGGCTGTATACCAAGCCTCTTCCAGCTCTTCAAGCTCTGCAAAGCTGAAATAAGCTCTGGCTTCATATGGAGTCTCCGGGTGCCTAACATGTCGCCAAGCTCGCTGAAAGTCCGCTCACAGTCTGCCGCTGCTGCTGGTATTGTTAGGACGTCAATAGCGAACTTTGAGAGTATAGGGAACTGCCCAGCAACTGACTCCCAGTATAGAAGCGGATTAAGAGACAGCCAATCCTCCTCAGCTAACGCTGGTTGCCGCTTCCATATCTCATACTCATCCTCAGCAAGGCTTGCCTCTAACTGCCGTGTGCTTTGCTCAATTGACGACTGTAGAAAAGCTGATCGCGACGTTGAAATCCCTAGCCGGGGCTTCTTACGCGGCGGCGTTACAGTGTGAGCTGAAGTGGCTGCAGAGTCCTTCCGCCCCTGCCACATACGCAGGAATGCCCGGTGGTTATTGTCAAGCCAGCCGTCGCGATAGTGGACACCGTCACGGGCAGTGACATGGGTGTCAGGCACCTTCCAGAGCGCTGAGAGGTGGTGTTTGTAGTGCGGGTGTAGTATTGTAGCAGTGTAGTAGACAGGCGCGTTATCGAATTTTGCGTAGTACTCAGCAAGCTTACAATGCGCAAGGTTAACGTTTGTAATAAGATGATCTTCAGGCGCATCTAGATCTTCGTAATTTACATCCTTAAGGCGGTCTTTGAGAGCCTCAAGCTGGTCAAGAAGCCACTCAAACGTTACTAGAACTTCCCATATAGCGCCGTGTCGGCCGTGTCGGCCGCGACCTTCAAGTAGCCGTGTAGCTTCGGCAAATGGCTCAAGGAGTCGAATGTATTCTGTTATTGTCGCCCAGTCCTTGCCGCTTAGACCCCCTTCGCGTATATATAACCGTGGCTGGGCAGCAGGGAGCTGCTCACGATTCTTCCGGCGTCGTGAGGTTGCTGTTGCAGCACTATGCTCCTCAAGTTTACACTCAATATAGCCATCGATAGGGCCGTGTAGCTCAGCTGCACGGACAAACGTGTTGAAATAGCTATTCCAGCGTGTCTTAACAGGCTTCACAAGCTGCCGGATGTGGGGTGTAACACCTAGAGACTCTGCCTCCTCGCACTGTAGGCGCTCTAGTAGTTGTCGAGTTTGAGGCGTACAGATAGACGCAATCACGTCAAAGAGGACGCCAACAGGACCGTATTTGCGCCACTCATCCATGTACTTCTCCTCTTCCTCAAGGTGTGCGGCTTCATTCTCGTACGCGCTACGGTCTTTGCCCCAAATTACTAATTGTGCGCTTAGGTTGAGTATATGGCAGCAGCACCGCAGCCGCCGCTCGCTTGCGATAAAGCCAAACTCCTCTGCTAAGGACTCAACTGCAGTATCATTGTTACTTGCGTTGTCAAGCACAAAGTACCCAACCCTCGCGTTGTCAACGCCAAATAGCCGAAGTATTGTTGTTGCTGCAGCGGCAATATTATTGCCAGTGTGCGCCCCGTGTAGCTCAGGCAACCCAAGCAGGTGGTCAACTAGCTTGCCCTCGCTGTTAAGGTAATGTACGCAGAGGCCAGTAAAAGCATACTGCCCACCAGTTGAAGTCCAGTTGTCGAATGACACGTGTATAAGCGACCGGGCTTCGCGAAGGTAGTTGGCAACAGCTAGTATGTATGTATTGTACTCAGTAATAATATGATCGTGGAGCGTTTAGTGGCTACGCCAAAGGAGAGCTTCGGCTAGCGGGCTCACGGCCGCAATCATGGCTCGAAACTGCGGCGTTTCTATTACGCGAAGGCTCTGGTTGTCCGCGACTACCCAGTCCTTCAGCGCGTCCTGAAATCGAGAGGTTGAAAAGCTTGCTGCTATCTCGTTTGCTACCTCTTGCGATACTTCTATCCCTTTAGACCTCATAATATATACTTGGGACTTTGCGAGCGCGCCCATAATATTGCCCTCCCGGCTAGCAATTGGTACAGGTCCGTTAGGTCCGTGTGAGTGTCCAGGCTTGTTGCTTGAGAGGTGTCGGCCGGCGTTTGTAGTGCTGTCAGCCTCGTAGCAAGCCTCCTGCTTCCGTCGTTGATGGCAGTACCGGCAAAGCCAGTAGTTTTTCTTGTACTTGCGGTGCCAGACGGCCCAGCCGTGGCGGTAGATCCAGCTTTTTGGCCCACCGCGACTATTACGCTCAACCTGGCGCCGCTCAAGATACGGCACACGCTTAAAATCAAGCCCGTCGTAATTGTCGTCGTCGTCGTCGTCGTCGCCGTCGTTGGGGAAGTCCGCCTGTACTGCCAAGGGCTCATCAGCCTGGGCCTCGCTCGCAGTATCGCCAACAGTAGGCGCGTTTGATAGCGATGGTAGAGGAGAATTGCGCTTGTCGCATTCTACAAGGCGGCGAGGGCCTGAATTAGAGGGAGTAGACATGAAGTACACCAAGAAGTATTATGGCAACAGTAGTCTAGCGTCGTGTGTATAGCAGACGCGACGCGACGCGACGCGAAAGGCTTACTAGGTGCGCACCGGGTAGCGCATTTCCGCAAACTCTAATTAGCTTAAAGCTAGATGCTTTAACTTATATAGGATTAGTGTCTTTATATCTAGGACTAGCGCGGCTTCGAAGCCGCACTAAATGTGGCTTTCACAACTCTAAAATACTGCTTTAAAAACAGCTAACGTCAGTCTAACGTCAGTCAGTTCAGTCAGTCTGGAGGCTTCTGAACTGACTGGACTGACGTCCAGCTGCCTCAAGAACTGACTGACTGAACTGAGTCTTGGCAGTCAGTTCAGTCAGTTCGAACTGAGTTACCTGACTGATAGCAAGTCTGCATGAGCGTACATAAAACAAGCAACAACTAAGCTCGCTCTCTTTCCGTCTCCTGGCGCCAATCTCAGCTGCTGTTTATGCTACAGTGCGCTTCGACATGGCTAGCCAGCGACAACCTTCTCTATCGCGACTCCTCTTCTAGATGACGGTGCTCGAGTCTCCATGGCTTGTTTCGACAGCAGTAATAATAGGGTCGGGCTCAGCAGCCGCTACGGTCGTTCGTGGACCCTCTAATCGGTACAGTTAGTCCACGTGCTGGTTCTGTTATTGCAGGCGGACACTTGTTCCGGGTCTTTGATAAATTTGTAGCTACTAGCGAAGTGCTTCTCTTGAGGCGTGCTGCTAGAACTAGTTTGGGTCAAACGTTAATTATGCACAAGGGTCTTGTAGAAATTCGTAAAAGATCTTTGGTATAAAGATAATGTAATTAGGAGAAAGAGCTAATAAGAAGCTCGACCAAGAATATATGTGTATTAAGATTGTAGAAGCTACCTAATAGGTAGCCTGTGCGAGTACATCTATACCCGAGATTGACATTGAGGTGAGCTTTGTTGCGACATGAGGTAAAGAGCTCTAGCCTATCTACTTAGGGGGTTGCGCTCTAGCAAACCCGCACTTGATAAACGCTGTTAGCACTAGAAGCGGAGCAACTCGATTCAAGTGGGGTACATACGCAGTAGTACTTGTCCTCAGGATGCGCCGAAAGGAACGAGCACCAGTTTGATGGCGGCCCAAATTTCATTGCAGGATCTTGGTCAGTGGGAGTACACTTTAGAGCTATTAGTACGATGGAACATTCCTAGACTAGTATGCTCTCATGCGGCGAAGCGTTAGCATATAAAAGGAATATACGTACCTTCCATAGAAAAACCCCTGGATGCTCAATTTTGCCACAACCACTTTAAGCAGTGGCTATATTGTGACTAGACTCCGCAACAATCAATTCAATCCGGTCACTCTCCTAGACCCACTTACCTATCTAGGTAGGGCTTAAACTCCTATAGGTAACTACTAGGCTTAAAGCGGTAATCAATCAATCCAATCTGAACCTTCTAGGACCCACTTAATTGATTGTTGCGGACTGTGATTGTGACAATCTGCGGCAGTTGCGACGACAGCAAGGCTCGATATGATTGCGATTGAGGGAATCTTCATGGTGTAGATGAGAGGGAAATGTGTCTCTTAGTAAGATGATGCTAGGATGAGAGTGCTAAGGTACTTAGGGGTAGAAAGGAGTCTGTACGTGTATATTTATACCTCTGCGCGCTTTCTTCAAGTCTGTTCACACACTACTAAGTGGGGCTTTTTAGCAGTTCCACAGGATCAATTTGGGCAAAAAGGCGCATCTATGCTAGGTCAGATCCATCATAGGTTGATGGTACTAGCATGCTCACACAATCCGCTTTTGCGGAAACTTCAGTGTGTGTACAGGCTCGGTGCTTACCCCAACATCCAACCATGTTCAGCAAAGCCCAAACAGGGTGCCTGGTGCTGGCACATTCAGTTAGCAATGTGTACATCGTCTTGTTACCTCTAAGCTTTACGGGCTCAGTGCTTATCCTAATACCTAACTACATTTAGCAAGATCTGAAGATCTGAACGTGGTTGCGCGTCCTAGACGGCTGGCTGGTGATTCTCCTCGATTGCAAATTTGCTGCTTCAATGTAAATCGTTTGAAAACTTTTGTACCCGGGTCCCAGCACTTTCAGTCAGCAGTATAACCCCCCTTTCTACCTCTACGCTCCACAGCCCGACCGGTGGCACGGAGATACTCTGATTTGTGGCCCTAATCTGCACAGTCCGCAACAAGCAAGTCAAGCATACTTGATTGTTATCGATAGTGGCAAACAGACCACATCGATATCCGTGCAGAGGACACGTCCCAGAAAATGATCTGATCCCTTATCGATAGGGGCTTGATTGAGGCTTGACTTGCTTGTTGCGGGCTCTGCTAATCTGGGAGCGGAACGGGCCTTGGTGCCTTGTTCAGCGCTCGGTGCTTATCTTGATACCTAACCATGTACAGCAAGATCTGAACATGGTCTTGGGTCCTAGTACGTTCAGTTGGTAATACAACCCCCTTTCTACTTACCTCCAAGTTTCACGGCCAGACTGGTTTCCTAGGGATACTCTGATTAATTAACTTGCTGCGATTTCTGGGCCATGCTGAAGATTGCAAAGTCATCATGTGAGTACTCGATTCCACGAGAAGCACTGCGGGTGTGGTTATGTGATAAAGCCAAGGAAGAGACAAGTCGTCCAGTGCCCCTCTCCCTTTTTTGATTGCGCCGTCAAATGTGCTACTAGATGGACGTTGCGCTTTGGCGTTACGCTTGCGTCTTTCATCACTGCTCTGTACACTTCTCGCCAGTCGATAGCTCGCCGCGCCGGATGATGCGCGGACGCTCTTCACAAAGCCATCGATGTCTGCGTGTGTACCGCCTTGAGCCCGTTCTTTCCGATTTGCTGCACGGCCGGCGTGCAAGAAGTCCTCCTCGGTGAAGATGGAAAGGAGTGTTGATGAATGCGGGAGTAGGGTTTTGTGAAGATCAAATGGTACAAAGGTGACGATGTCCGGTACGTACGTACCCCACAGCGTCTGCAGCAATCAGCACTCCACAATCCTGTCAGTAGTCAAGGGTGAACTTACATAGTCGCCATCTCAGTACGGCTTAGAATCGCTCGACTCCCACACAGGACATTCGGCCCATTTTGTCAGTTGCAGTCTGGTACAAGTTCCGAATACAGCATTGCTCTTCAGTGTTGACATTACTGCTTGTAGCTAGGATGCATCACCTTCGTGTCCGATTAGTATATCTTGCTTACTATCTTATCCTCGCACTTCTGCCGTCCTTGCGCGACGATGTTCTCAAATGATTTGTCATGAGGCTTTCGTTCATCGGTTAGACGCTAGTTTCGTCCCTGGTCTTGGCACATCGGTCGGTGCGAACAACGATGCCGGGTCTGCGCTTTTCAATCTAGGCAACGAACCGTCTTTCGCGATATCGTTTGTCTAATTACAACTACGTTGCTAGTATGCACTGGAAGACGGTCAATCAGACACAGGTTATCGCCAACGCCTTTTACACTGACGCTCGTAATGGTTACCCAGGAAACATCGACGGCGGTGCGCTGCATAACTGGCTGGTGTTTAATTTGTTTCCCGTGCCTGGACAACCGCTTTACCTTCTTTCTACTCCCTGGTTCTCGTGGTTGAAGATTTCGCTGTTTGGCGGAACTGCCGTGGAGACATGGTTGACTATTCGGGCCCGGAATCTGTCATAACACGTGACATTATCCGCAAAAGGTGACTTGGAACGGGCAGGAACTCGAGCGCGCATGGTTGAAGCATGGTACAGGGAGGCGAGCTGGTGTTTTACATGGGCGAAAAGCCGAAGAGGTGGGATGTTGGTAAGCGGCCGTGGTGCCGTCTTGTACTCTCATGCCGGTTTGCCTCATGCGTTTGTTTGCCTGACAATCGACTGATGATACAGCATATATCATATATCAGAGTAATCTAATGACGACGTTCACCTAAAGAAGACATTAGTCGCCTTTCCTCCAGTATCCCTACATGTACGCGATGTGATAGGTGGCATTCAACAACGATCAGAGCACCACTCAGCCTTGTGATTACGACTGCGCTGGCGCAAGTTGGGCATATATTTGCACGATGGGCGGACAGCAGCGGAAGGCTGTAGTGTCCGGGGTGTTCACGATCCGAGGCGATTGACAAGTAGCAGCGCATGAAGTGGGGCCAAGCCGCGACACAAGAGGGATTCGATTCGCGTTTCAGTGGCTCAGGCGTCTCTTCAGTGACGATGGAGCACCAAGCACAGGGATACTCGAGCGCATATCGTGTGGCAGCAGGCCAAGGGGGGGGGGGGGGGGAACAGTGGGCCGCGGGCGTCAGCGGGCATAGCGAACGTCAATCGATATGCTACCGGAGCCCGCAGCAGTCCGCGGCGATTCGTTTAGCTAGTTTTATACCTTTACTTTGCGCCCCCGTCTCTTTGCGCGCGCACAATGGTGTGTGTTCCGAAGACTGTCCTCTCTAATAATATCTCCGCTTTGGCCGGAGTGTACGTATCGTAGTCGTGACAGCTGAGGGGAAACCCACAGCCCCGACCCCCACCCTTTATTCGCGAGGCCCACCCCCCCATGGGGGGGTCCAAACCTGGTGTGGCTGGCCATCCGTAAACACAAACTTATTGTTTTTGGTATCGCGGCATCTGGACATGCTGCTGCTTGCGCGCCTGCACCGGCAGTTGACCTGCCTCTTGTTTGCGACAGTCGCTGCCGCTGCCGCCTCCATCGCTCCCACCAACACATCAACGGTGCGCGTCAACTTGGGACATGGCACGCTTCCGCTGTCGCATGCCGAAGGCGATGGCGGTAAGATTGCCGACTTGGTACCCTTGACCCAGCAAGCAACCAGATCCGTTAGTTTCACCACCCGTGGCGCATGCGAACATGGACGCTGACACACACTAGGTCGAGGGAAACCTGTACAACACAAACTTCGACAACGTCGCCAACATCTCTTCCAACGAGGTCGCATATATCAGCTGTAACCCGGGTGATTACACGGGCTTCGACGATGCACAGAGAGTCTTCCAGCAGGCTTACACTCAAGCCAATATCTCGGCCATTATCTTGTACAGCACCGTCTCTGACTACTGCAACTATACGCAAGAAAGCTCGCAAACCATAATGGATGATTTCGCCGTCTACTCCATGACAAATGCGCAAGATTCCGCCAAGGTATTGGATGCTATCAGCAATCTACCGACACACATGAAGTATTTCGTCAGAGTCAAAGGCCGCGCAGTTGATACCGGTGGGGATGGAAAGGGCGACCCGTACCAGACGCAGAACCCATTGGGACCCTCGCCATCTACAGCTGTAGCCATGATTATCTTGTACAGCATTACGGGTATTATTACAGCTTTGTTCCTCGTCATCATCATCACCGGTGCCGTACGTGCACATCGACACCCCGAGCGATACGGTCCACGAAACGTGCTGGGACGGCCGCGACAGAGCAGGGCTAGAGGGCTGGGAAGAGCCATACTCGATACCATTCCGATTGTGAAGTTTGGCGAGAAAGAGCCGGAGAAACCTGCGGATGTTGAGTTGGGGCCAGCTGGAGAAGTAACAGATGCGGCGCATGCGAACACCAACACTGGACTACCGATGGGACAAGCAACGACGGGGCAGCAAGAGAACAATACGGCCACGATACCGAACATCACTGTTGGCGGGGCGGAGACGACGGAATCTACGACACGAGCTTTGGCTGAGGAACAGCAGTCTGGCATTGCGCCCGCACAGTCTGCTGCTGCGGCTGCAGGCGCAACAGGAACCGACAACATTTCGTCAGATGACAGCTTAGGCTGCTCCATCTGCACCGAAGACTTTGAGAGGGGCCAGGATCTCCGCGTTCTACCATGCGACCACAAATTCCACCCCGAATGCGTAGACCCATGGCTTCTAAACGTATCAGGAACCTGTCCACTATGGTAAATGATCAATCCCCTTCTAAACTGTATTTAACTAACAACCCCCAGCCGCGTCGACCTCCGACCCGTACAATCCCGCGACTCCTTGGACTCACAAAACATGGATGGCCTCGCTTCACCACTGAACCCCGAAGCCGAAACCTCGCACCGTCGTCGAACGGCATTCCGCGATATCCTGTCTCTGCGCCACCGACCTAATGCTTCGACCGAGGAACGTATTGGCGCGTTACGACGGCTAAGAGAGCAACGCAGGAATAACAGCGGCGATTTGGCGGGCGATGGGAATGCTAGTGTGGAAGACACGAGGAGCAGGAGGATCAGTAATCGTCTAAGTGATGTTTTTGCTGGTCGCACACGCAGGGAGAGGAGGGATGAAAGTCCCACACAGGCACCCGGCGATGGATCGTTGAGACCAGATGCTGGTGCTGGTGCAGGTTCACATACACAATGAGGCGTACACACGTAATTGTGTGATTTGGGTCGTAACTATATGATTTCCAAGTGCATTCTCAAGTCTGTTGTTAGCAAAAAGCTGGCTTCTCGAATATTTCCCAGCTTTTCCCTTGTTTTGCATCATTTCCGTTCTGTTGTTTAGTGTGTAGAATACCCCCTTATGAACAGCATGCATGCGCTAGATTGGTCTTGACGTATTTAGCGTTTATTGGGTTGTGGGCTGTGGGCTGTGGGTGGTACATGTAATAAAGTGAGATTCTATTAGTTACGTTGAAATGGAATTTGCGGATGTGATTGTGTGGATGAAGATATGAAGATCCGCGACAAGCGATGCTCATCTAACGTTATTTACCGAGGCACGTGTCTAAGAAAGGTAAGTAAGTACCGTCATCGATCCAACGGCCATCACCACACCATATCTGCTCTGCTCACGTAGGCTGTCGTCGACTTACAAGGTACAGCTACTTCTGCACCTCCTCCCTAGCCAGCAAAACATTGGCTATAATTCAAAAAAACCAATGTTCCCCTCATGTAGTTATCCGCCAACATGATCCTTCCAACACGGACCAGAAGCTAGAAATTGATTCTCTCGGCAAGCACGGCGGCAACCCACTCTTTCCGGTGCGGGCGTGTGTGGGGGCCCCGCAAAACGGGACACAACTTCGGCTTTCTCGGGGTAAAAATACCCCAGATACACGACGGGCGCGCTACTTATGCTATCGTCATGGCACGGGTGCGGTTCGGTTGGGGTAAAAATTGGAGTTATAATAAAAGGAACATGTGTTGCCCCATGGAGGAAACGAGGTTTTACTTGCCGTCGTTCTAGTTTCTGGCCTTCTGCGCACTGCCGTCCTACACATGCAAACATGAGAGGCTGCAAATCCCTAGCGTTGATCGCGCTCAGCAGCTTGACAACAGCCGGGCAAACAAACTACGCACAATATGTGAATCCCTTTATCGGAGCTGAAGGGCCAACACCAGGCCGGGCTTTCGGCGGCGGCGACATCTTCGTTGGCGGCGCCGTGCCGTATGGTGTTGTTAAGCTGGGGATTGATACGTACGAGACTAATCCGCAGATGGCGGTGTTGAATGGCGGGTTTACGCCCGAGGGGAATGTGACGGCCGTTTCTATGATACATGTTAGTGGGACGGGGGGGTGTCCGAAGTAAGTCGTTTACGGGATCTTTGTACATGTGGGTGGTTGGGAGGTTTTTGTTGATGGTGTATTTCATAGGTACGGAGTGATTTCGCAAATGCCCCTAACGACAACATCCGCGCCGGTGGATATCTTGAATAACCGGACGTACTGGCAACATCGCGTTGGCAACGACACCGCGCGTGTTGGGTATTTCAAAACGGATTTGGAAAGTGGGGTGAGGGTTGAGTTATCAGGGACTGCACATGCTGGTATCTTGCAATATAGTTTCCCGGCTGGTGAGAAAAACGTGCTGGTTGATCTTACACATCGACTGCCCAGCGCACGTGGTAGCAGCTGCACGCAACGTTATGTCGATTCTGAAATCTCGATATCGGATGATGGGACCGAGTACACCGGGTACGGCGTCTACGAGGCGGGTTGGAACGAAGGCGCGCCGTATAAAGTGTATTTCTGTGGACAGTTCGACTCCGCTCCCGACCAGGCTAAGGCGTTTAACGCAGAGAATAGCACGACGCCTGATATGGGTGGTAAGAGACGGAAAGCGCGGAGTCGGCATGATACCGTTGGTGCGCTGTTCACATGGAACGATACCGCCACTGCGTCGACGTTGCGGTCGAGGGTGGGGATATCGTTCATTTCTGCGGAGAAGGCGTGTGCGTTTAAAGATGCGGAGGTTCCGACGTGGGAGTTGAATGATACGGTGGAAAAGGCGGTGAGCAAGTGGAATGAGGATATTTTTAACACGGTGAGAGTTGGTGTTGGAGAGGGGGCTAATACGACGGATCTTACGCTATTGTATTCGTCGCTTTATTTTGCGCATCTCATGCCGAGTAATCGGACGGGGGAGAATCCGGGGTGGGTGAGTGAGGAACCGTATTATGATGATTTTTACGCGATTTGTAAGTGGTTTCTTTCTGTCCTCTTCCCCAGTCTTTCCGTATTAGAGTCTATGGTATCGCCATTACAGACTATCGCGAAACTAACAAGGCTGATTGATGGATAAACAGGGGATACGTTTCGTTGCACAACTTCTCTTCACACTTGATTCAGCCCAAAGCGTACACGGAACAAATCCTTGCCCTGATTGACATCTATCGACACGATGGGTTCCTTCCAGATGGGCGGTCTGGGAACTACAACGGGCTTTCACAGGGCGGGTCAAACGCTGACAACGTATTGGCTGACGCATACGTCAAAGGCCTACGCAACGGAATCAACTGGACAGATGCATATGCAGCGATGCTGAAAGACGCAAAAGTCATACCGGATCTCCGCTTCAAAGACAAAGAAGGGCGAGCCGCGTTAGCAGATTGGAAGAAGCTGGGCTACGTGAGCCAAGACCTGAATGAGCGCTGTGTGTCAAGAACTGTGGAATACAGTTTAAATGACTTTGCCGTAGCGCAAGTCGCCGCGGGGGAAAGGCCGGAAGATGTGGAAAAGTATTTGCAAAGAAGCAAGGGGTGGCAGAGGACTTGGGATCATGATGCTGCCAGCAAGGGAATCGAGCCAGCATTCAAAGGATTCCTAACACCGCGACTATCAAACGGCACGTTCAATGCTTCGGACTACAATCCCGCACAGTGCGGCGGGTGCTCGTGGAGCGCGATTACCTACGAGGCTACACCATTCGAGTACTCGTTCAACGTCCCACACGACATGGCCACGCTGATTGAGTTTATGGGGGGAAAAGATGAGTTTGAGCGGAGACTCGATCACATGTTCAAGCCAAATAGTAGTCAACAAGACCTGGGGGTTAATGGCGCTGGTATTAATACGTTGATGAATATTGGGTATGTTACTCTCTTTCCTGGGCTAACTTGCACCAACTAACACATGAACTTCAGAAACGAGCCCGACTTCCAAACCCCCTACCTCTACAACTACATCAACAAACAATACAAAAGCGTGTATCAATCCCGCGCCTTGGCCCGGAAATAGTACGCCCCCTCCCATCCCTCCCTCCCCAACCTTCTAACCACACACACAGCTTCACAACCGCACCCAACGGCCTCCCCGGAAACTCCGACGCCGGCGCCCTCAACTCTTGGTTAATCTGGCAGATGATCGGCCTCTATCCTGTCGTCACGCAACCGATCTACCTGATTGGCTCGCCGTGGTTTCCAGATCTCAATATGACGGTGAATGGGAATAGGACGTTGAGAATTACTGCGGAGGGACTGGGCAGGGAGAGTTATTATGTGCAGAGTGTTAAGGTGAATGGGAGGGAGTGGACGAAGAGTTGGGTGGGGCATGAGGATGTCATGGTTGAGGGGGGGACGATTGAGTTTGTTTTGGGTGAGAGGGAGAGGGCTTGGGAGGGTGAGGGGGAAGGGCCGGGGAGTCCGGGGGGTGGGGGGTTAGGGGGAAAGTAGAGGTTCTGGAGTGATGGAGTAGGGGCACTGTTGCGCTGTCTGGGTGTAGACTTCGGTCTAGCTATTGCGTATAGCTTTAGTGTTGTAGGTCGTCCTAGAAGCACGGGAGAAGTAAGATTAGTTGGTAATGGTGTCAATGTTGGCCTGCCTGTATTCCATTGTATCGTGTTTGGGGAAGTGCTTGGAAGATGGTATACGCTTCGCAACTTGGCTTATACTAAAGTTCGGTGTGTAGCATCTAGACTCCGCAACAATCAATTCAATCCGGTCACTCTCCTAGACCCACTTACCTATCTAGGTAGGGCTTAAACTCCTATAGGTAACTACTAGGCTTAAAGCGGTAATCAATCAATCCAATCTGAACCTTCTAGGACCCACTTAATTGATTGTTGCGGACTGTGGTAGCATCACTGTACAGGACTACCATATACAAGTTTACCATGGCTAACCGAGATAAACAGCAAAACAAAGGACGATGGATAGCCAACGGTATCTACTTTAATGCCATCTGCTCACACTTAACCCAGTCGTATAGTTGAAAAAAACCCTGGTTTTCCTCGTTGGCGCATGCGAAGAGACAAACTGATACTTACAAGGCGGTAAGCAGGTCATTTGTGCTTATTCAAAAGAAGGAGAGAGATATATCTACTAAAGACTGCAAATACCGCGGAGCCTTTGTTCCTAGGACACGGATGCAGGATGTAACTTGGGGTCCGACAATTGGGTCTGCAGGCTTGTCAACAATCAAATCAACCAAATATAAAACTCGTAGCTAACTTATTCAGCGTTGCTTTGGTGTTGCGATTGGTTTTACTGGCTTAAAAGCTTATCAAAAGAGTTTTATTGCATAGTTGTTTAGCTAATTGATGATAAGTTATATGAAATTACTGAATTGGATGAAGTAGAGTGGTTGAGATCGTCAACAGCACCAATTTTGACGCCAACGTCAACATTATCGATTACACCAATCGATCAATCAATTACAGAGTCCACAAGTGAATTGCTTGCGGTTACAACAAATCCGTGATTAGTTTAATTAATCCAAAAGTTTTTCTTGGTGGTTTGGGTATTTGATTAATGACCTAATTGATTGGTAACGAGTCTGTAGGTTTGAGTGCGTTGGCGCTTTGGTCACGATTAGTTTGGGTAATTCTAGAGCTCAATCAAGCGACCAGATCATCAAGCAAACGGTTGATACGGTACCCCTTTTTGTGGCTACGGTACGAGTGGAAGGAAGGAAACTACAAGAGTTGGTAAGAAAATTCGGATAATATCCGGAGTCTTGGTAGCTTGTCGACTGTGTCAGCTTCAGGTAAGGGGCGTAATACGGCGATTGTTGGCGCTGACTGTGACAAGAGTGATTACCAGGAGGAAAATCACTACAAATCAGACAACTTCTTGTAAAAACCCTGTATCAGTACCTTGGTACCTCTGCAGACTTACAATCCTATACTACATCACCTGCTACTACGTACTATTACTTACGCCCTCCGCACACTGCCTACGCTATTTTCATCCTACCTGCCTAAGCAAACCAAAATTATGCGCATTGAGCTTCTTTCCCCTGTCCTCGTCGTAGGCGCGTGCGAGGCAGCATGACACCGGTATAAATCATATTTCACATATTCCTCTAGCGGTGGGCCTGCGAATCGCTGGTACGACGACAAGTGCAGTTTGTTCAAAATGTCAGGGACACCATAGCATGCACCGCTCCCTGAAGTGAACACGGGGCTAGATGGAATACAATGACAGTGTGCAAAGCCTCATGACTGCTTATCCTACACACGTATTTCTTTAGAGAGTGCAAACATATACGATATACGGAGGTGACTTTCAAAAGTTCTTGCTAGCGTATTTGTTAGCGGCCGATCAGTCGGCCCGACTTTCTTGGCACCCATCCAGATTTTTTGAAGCTGGAGGTAATAGTGGTGATAGTCTATATACTCAATTTTTTGGTGTTTTCAACTATACTATAGCTCCTAACACTGATCCCTATACCCGTGCGCTTATTGTGACGCTGAAGTCACCTTTTGGTGGCAAATCTACCGTCCAGATCAGCGCTATCACCATAGATTTTGATTCCTGATTCATAATCAAATCAAATCTGATTTGATTTGATTGATTTGACTCAGATTCATGACCTTTTGATTTGACTCTGAATCAATTGAATCAGCCGGCTTAACTTCGGCTATACCTAATCCTCAAGAACTCGGTCTCTTAGCTGTATACACACCCTTATCTAACCTACTAACCTATGTCAGCTAGAGCTCTAGTAAGGAGCTAGGAAGTTTCCGGTCTGTACAGCTGATTGCTGTTTGCCCTATTGTTTTATCCTATCTTTGTTCTATCTAATCTTTGTCTATCTGTTTGCTCTTAGCTAGGAAGCCTTATATAGGCTACCGCTCGCGATAGATAGACTAATCGACATAATTCCTCCTAAGCTATTCCGCTTGACAACCTACCTTCTAGGCTTCTACTATAGCTAATCGTCCTAGAAGAAGCCGCGTAACCCAGACATTCGCTGTCCCTGATGAGGATAACATATATAATAATGCGTCAATCGCACCGCTGGACGAGTCAGGAACTGCAGAGGACACCGACAATACTAGTGTCAGATAATAGCACTGTTGAAGATGAGAGCGTACAGACGCTGGGTTAGACTAGCGCGACCCGGCATCTGAGAGATCCAATCGGATCACAGGAAGGCTTGGCTCCCCCCCAGGTGTG